GGACGGGCGCCGCACCCCGGCCGGGCAGGGCGGCCTCGCTTCTCGCTGACACCTGCGGGGTCCAGGGGTGCAGGACAATCAGGGGGGGCCATGATGAGATGTGGGGAGAGGGACCCCCCCGTCTTCCCAGCATCCGGAGTCACCGGGGTCCCATCACCGTCCGGGGCTCCTGGGCCTGGTGCCCCCTCCTCCACCCCGCCCCGCTCCCGGTCCCAGCCCCCGTCCCAGCCCCGGCCCTGGCCCCGGTCCCTTCGGATGCCCCGCACCTCCCCCACCCCAGGTTTGCAGGCCCAAGAATGTGCTGGGGAGCTGGGGCCCCCTTTCCCCATCACCTGGGCCACACTTCCGCTTTTGGGTCCACTCAAGTTCGGGGGGGGGGAGAGGTGGGGCTGGTGGCTTTTTGAGCTGGGTGTGCCCCCCCCACTTCTCCTGGGCTCTTACACCTGAGAGTGAGGGGAAGTGGGAGGGGGTCCCCCGGTTCAGATGCCTTCTATACACATTCAAAAAGATAGATGGCAAGGAAGTCCTCTCAACGTAGCCTGGACAGGTTTGAGGTGTGGCAGGTGGAAAGATCACACCAGAGATCTGGTCTCGTTCAGAAAGGGCCGGACACTTCTAGAGGGTCACACAGCAAAGCATCTTGGGGAAGGTGTGGAAGAGAACTATGATTCCAGCTTGGAAGGGGTGGGGGTGGGTGGGAAGGGCAGGCCTACCAGCCTGGGGCCCTTCAGCTGGATGAGCAGGCACACATGCACACCCACTGGACACCTGGGAATGTGGCTTCACAGCTGCAGGCAAGGTGGCGGGCCCAGGCACGCTTAAGGTACCTGGCCTGCAACCTCTTGGTCTCCACTGCAAACAGCAGAGAGAATTGCTGTGTGAGCTCTCACCAACTTCCCCAAAGCTGGAAGTGGAGCTGTGGCTCACAAGCATGAGTGAAAAAAGCTAAGGGACAGCATCCAGGTCCTGAGTTCAAGTCCCAGTAACCACACACACATATACACAACAGAGCTTGGTGGGTCCTCTGGCTCAGAGAATCATGCAGCTCAAAAGTGACCCAGCCAAACCTAGATGTCCCAGGTTGCCAAACCAGCACTCTGTGGTTTCTGGTGACTATAGGCAGTCTCTATTTATATCAGGGACACAGACTAGTTGAGACACATCACCCTCTGGACAGATCCAGAGATCTCACTGTTGGACCCTTGGGCCTGGGTTTACTCCCTGGCCAGTTCTCTGGGAGCCTCTGTGCCATGTGGTCCTAGCTGAGGGTCCAGGCTGCTGGGAACAGCTGGTCCCGATTTACTAGGGAGGCATCCACATTCCTGGCAGTCTGTGGTGAAGGAGGAGGAATGTGCTCTGGGCTGTGGGCAGCTGAGGAGCTAGCGAGGGAGGGAGGGAGACCGAGGGAGAGGCAGTGGGTGGGGCCTTTCCCCCACAGTCCCCAGAGCCTTAGAGGGGCTTGGCCCAGCTGAGCCAGGAACGCCTGGCATCCCAGTCGGCCAGATTGCCTCATCTCATGCTCAGCATTGTGGGCTCCTGGGTGTGATTACCCCCCCCCTTCCCTGCCTGCCCTGCCCGCCCTTTCTCATTCCTCCTGACAAAGCCAGCCGGGCAGGGCTGCCTGGGAACCTGGACACTGACAGGGATCAGATTTGCTGGCTGTGGCTACCTGCCTTTGTCTCCCTTAATCCCATGTCTCTAATCTCACCTCAACAGCTTTGTAGGTGGGAACCCAAATGGGTTCCTGTCAGCAGAGGATTCTGTAGCCAGTCTGGTGTGCACAGTAGCTCACACCTGTAATACTAACTACTCAAGAGGCTGAGATCTGAGGATCCTATTTCAAATATAGCCCAGGCAGGAAAGTCCCTGAGCTTCTTATCTCCAATGAACCATCAAACAACAACAACACAGAAATGAGCTGTGGCTCAAATGGTAGAGTGCTAGCCTTGAGTGGAAAAACCTTAGGGACAGCATCCAGGCCCTGAGTTCAAGCCTTAGGATCAGTACAAGGTTTTTTAAAAAGAGCAGCTATGTCCTTCTGTTCCCTGGGGGAGGAGATGGGAGAGAGGGGCTGAGGAAAGAGGACATGGTATTCGCAGACCCACGGTGAGTCTTGACAGTCCAGCTTGTCAAAAGCCTGCCATGGGCTTCTTCCTGCCTTCCTGGGAGCTGCCTTCAGAACACAGCCAGGCCTGTGTACCTGCCTGGGTTCCCCCAGCATCTGGCCCTGGCCAGTCCAGCTTTTGCTATGGGGATCAAGCAGCTGTGAGCTTGAAGAAAGTAGGCATGCATTTGGAGGGGCCTTGAACATGTCTTGCTTTGTGTGTGTATGTGTGTATGGGGGGCGGGTCCCTGGGCCTTGAACTCAGGGACTGGACACTGTCTTTGAGCTTTTGTGCTCAAGGCTAGTGTTCTACCACTTGAGCCACAACTCCACTTCCAGCTTTTTTTGCTGGTTAATTGGAGATAAGAATTTCATGGATTTTCCTGCCCAGGCTGGCTTTGAATTATGATCCTCAGATCTCAGCCTCCTGAATAGATAAGATTCTAAGTGTGAATGACTGGCTCCTGGCTTTTCTTTTCTTTCTGTTTTGATCAGAGACTGGGACTCACTCTACTTGATGCTTTCACTCATTAGATAGCATTCTAACAACTTAGCCACACCTGCAACAAAACAGTTTTTTTATTTTTATTTATTTATTTTTTTGTCAGTCATGGGGCCTGAACTCTGGGCCTGGGTGCTGTCCCTCAGCTCTTCAGCTCAAGGCTAGCGTTCTACCACTTGAGCCACAGTGCCACTTCCAGCTTTTTCTACCTATGTGGTGCTGAGGAATCAAACCCAGGGCCTCATGCTTGTGAGGCTAGCACTCTACCACTGAGCTACTGAGCTACCTTCTCAGCCCCCCTTTTTTTTTTTGTGCCAGTCCTGGGGCTTGAATTCAGGGCCAGGGGCTGTCCCTGAGGGTCTTTTGCTCAAGGTTCACTCTCTACCGCTTGAGCCACAGTGCCACTTCTGGCGTTTTTTGCAATTTATTGGAGATAAGAGTCTCATGGACTTTCCTATCTAGGCTGGTTTTGAACCACAATCCTCAGATCTGTTTCCTAAGTAGCTAGGATTACAGCATGTGTACCAGTGCCTGGCTTGACCTTGAGCCTTCCCTGAACTGACAGCAGATGTCATGGGGGAGTAGAGCCATGAACAAGGACACCCACCACATAATGGCAGAGAAATTTCGCAGCCAGGGTATTTAGGGAAGGGAGGGATTAAGTCACATTGAAGTTGGTAGAGACAGTCTGTGCAAAAGCCCTGTGGCAGAAACCAGTATGGCCAGTTCCAGAAACAGAAGTTCAGCAGTTCCTCAGTAGAACAATAGAATCACCCCCTGACCTGCAGTTCCAGAAGATGAAAACAGGTAGGCAGAGGAGACCGCATACACCACCTGCATCTTAACATTCATAACAGCAAACCGGGGGACAACCTAAGCATCCATGGATGTGTAAATCGATGTCTAACATGGTCCACACACGGAAATGTCATGCAGCCAGGAACAGGATGAGACTCAGCTATGGTGTGGAGGGACCTTAAGGACATGGTGCTCATTGAGAGAAGCAGACACAAAAGGCCCCATAGTATGTGGCTCCTTTGAGAGGAAACTTCCAGAACAGGCACATATAGAGACTGGAAGTTGACTTGGGGGCGGGGGAGGGGGTTTGCAGGGAGGCTAGGTGACTACTCATAGGAATAAACTTCTTAGCCAGGCGCTGGTGGCTCACTCCTGTAATCTTAGCTACTCAGGAGGCTGAGATCTGAGGACTGCGGTTCAACGTCAGCCTGGGCAGGAAAGTCCATGAGACTCTTTATCTCCAATAAACCACTAGAAAACCAGAAGTGGTGCTGTGGCTCAAGTGGTAGAGCACTCACTAGTCTTGAGCTGAAGAGTTGAGGGACAGTGCCCAGGCCCAGAGTTCAAGCCCCACAACCAACCAAAAAAAAAAAAAAAAAAGGAATGAACTTTCTTTGAGGTGATGGAATGTTCTGGAATGGATTGAAGTAGTGGTTGCATAACATTATGAATGTACTAAATGCCATTGCTGTCCCAACAGAATGCCACCGAGGTGACAAGATGTCACCTATGACATCCCAAGGTGGGGGGGGGCGGGGTACGGACAGGGTCAGGTCCAGCCAGGCCTCACGCCGTCAGAGCGGTCATTCTCCACTCCTCAGCCCTGTGCCTCTTGCTTCTCAGCTCCTGTCCAAATATGACCCCCAGAAGGAGGCTGAGCTCCGCAGCTGGATCGAAGGGCTCACGGGCCTCTCCATCGGCCCCGACTTCCAGAAGGGTCTGAAGGACGGGGTGATCTTGTGCACGTGAGTGCTAGCTCACTCTCTTTCTCTCTCATCTGTCTCTTATTTTCTCCTTCGTTCCTTCCGCCCCTCCTTTTTTTTTTGTCGGTCGTGGGGCCTGAACTCTGGGCTTGGGCGCTGTCCCTCAGCTCTTCAGCTCAAGGCTAGTGCTCTACCACTTGAGCCATAGCGCCACTGCCAGCTTTTTCTGCTTATGTGGTGCTGAGGAATTGAGCCCAGGACCTCATGCATGCAAGGCAAGCACTCTACCACTGAGCCACCTTCCCAGCCCCTCTGCTTCCTTCCTTTCTACATTCCTTCTGTCCTTCTCTTTCATTTTCATTTTCTCTTTTTCGGCCTTTCTCTTCCTCCCTCCTCCCTCCCCGATTCTCTCTCCTTCCTTCTTTTCTTTTCTTCTTTCCGTCCTTCCTTCCTTCCATCTTTTTTTCCTTTTTTTCACCAGTCTCCACCACTTCCGGTTTTCTAGTGGTTAATTGAAGGCTGGCTTTAAACCATGATCCTCAGTTATCAGCCTCCTGAGTAGCTAAGATTAGGATTACAGGTGTGACCAACCCACCAGTACCTGGCCCTGATGTCTTTCCTTGGAGCTACCAGCCCCCCCTTTCTCTCTCTCTCTCTCTCTTTCTCTCCCCTCCCTCCCTCCCTCTCCCTGACACTGTGTCTACTTGGCACAAAGTATTTCACACTCCAGTGTGTTCACGCCTTTTATGGATCACAGACACAATTCAGCAGGCAGACCCCAATGCAGAAGTTTGTTTGCTTCTTACTTAATAGTATGACATCTTTTTTTTTTTTTTTTTTAGTTCTTTCCTTTTTCTTGTCTTATTGCTTCGTCTAGGTCGTCTAGCAGTGAGCACCCTTCATTCTGCTTCTGTTTCATTGGAGAACTGACAATGCTTCCAGTGGTCTTCCCTTGTGCAGGCTATTAAGCTGATTCAGATATTCTATAGTCTTGCACATTAAAAATGATTGTGCGTCAGTGGCTCATGCCTGTAATTCTAGCTACTCAGGAGACAGATCTAGTTCAAAGTGAGGTCTGGCAGGAAAATCCATGAGACTCCTATCTCCACTAAACTAACAAGTCAGAAGTGGAGCTGTGGCTCAAGTGGTAAAGTGCTAGTCTTGAGCAGAAAAGCTCAAGGACATTGCCCAGGCCCTGAGTTTCAAGCCCCCGAGACCGGGACACAAAAAATATTGGTAGGGCTGGGAAGGTGGCTCAGTGGTAGAGCGCTTGCCTTGCATGCATGAGGCCCTGGGTTTGATTCCTCAGCACCACATAAGCAAAAAGAAAAAGCCGGAAGTGGTGCTGTGGCTCAAGTGGTAGAGC